AAGTTGATAGAAGTATTTCTTCGTATATCATATCCAGTTTCAAGATGTATGACAAAAATTATATCTATCGGTATGTACAAACCGTTGGATTATTCTCCAACAGTGCTATTGAACCATGGTGCTAAAACTTTGTTGTTTTCGGAAAATGCTTGGGAATCGTTTATTAAACATTTGCATTTGATAGAATGTTATTTGGAGAACAATCTGTTTGGAAGAAAAACTGCAATCAGGCTCTCAGACTGCGACATCGAGATAGATGTTGTTAAACAGCGAGGGGAGCAGCAAGTTAGATTTAGGGAGCTAACCAAACACGATGAAAGAATTTTACTTACCAATTCTGAATTTTATTTATTGAGTTGTTCTACATCATCGATAACAAGATACATGAGGCAGCTAGTTTTTTCTTCCCCTGTCGTGAAAGATTACTTAGTGGAAACGATGGAAAAACAACCCGACGTTCAGATATTGCATGGACCTGTGGATACATCGATATTCAACCGGATACCAGAAGAGGTGGAAATGTGGAGACAAGTTAACGCGTTGGAACAGAGGGAAAACATCGACGAAGAAAAGATAGAAGGATCTAGTTCTGTGAGTGTAACGGAGGAACAAGTGACGGAGGAAAACCACGAAACAATTTCAACAGTAGCAGAACAGACGAGTGATGTTAAAGGTGTAATGAATTTGCAAGACGGAGAAAAATAGAAGAAATAAAAAAGGAAACAACAGATAAGCTGTAGCCGATGTAAACAGGACAGCAAATATGTTAACATCACGTGGGGTAGGCCTACTGGGGGGAAGGTGCCCACGTTAAATATACACCAACGCGCTGACAACTGTACGGCCTGATCTATAAAAAAGGGATCTACCGTGGTGTGGAAACCAGTTGTTATCTTAAAACGATATGGAGAGGAAGATTTCCTTCGCTGACAGAGTTGAAGAGATTCAAGAAAAACCTTGTGTAGTGGAATTTCAAGCTTTTCGAGGAAACAAAAATGAATATATCATAAAGGAACTAGTATTCCTAGATTTAAATACAGGAATTGTCTTTCCATTTCTATTTGAACCTCCATTCGCATTTAATAATCTCAACAGTAAAACGAAAAGAACCAATAAATGGACTACGAGATACTTCCATAGTATCGATTGGTGTGAAGGGTTTACAAACTACAAGAGTCTCGAAAATATTATGTATCATTTTTGTAATGAGTTTACAACTGTATACACAAGAGGATTAGAAAAACGTAATTGGATACAAGCATATACGACTCGGCAAGTTTACGACGTGATATTGGATAAGAATTTCGAATCTCCCAAGTTGGAAAATATATGTCGACTAGTAAAAAACAAACAACATACACAATCACAGTGCGCATTGAAAAATGTATACCGATTAGCAGCTTTTTTGGAGCCAATGAGGAGTGGTGGGGGTAGCGATGGGTATAAATACGAAGAGCAAACCTTGACAATGCATGAGTATTACTCTAGACTCCAAGCTAGCAACAACGACGAACTAAATAAATCATGAGTTCACATTTCCTACAAACGTTTGTTGATCAATTCAACGCACAGTCCAAATCAAACTGTTTACTTACTAAAAAGTGTTCAGAACTAAAAGAAAACAAACATTATACAATTCACAATATCAAGAAGATTGACACTTCCATCGGGGATGCCATCGTGGTTTCTTTAAGTGATGCACCATTTACTTCGGGGGATGAACCGAAGTTTCAAGTATTTCTACCTAAACGATTTGTACATCTACTACAAAATGAAGATCTGAGAAGCATCGAACCCGGATCCCTGTACCTGGTGTCTCGTGGGTCAAGCGGAAACAACTCTACAGAATTATCTCTTCACATGTCACAACGTCCTTAGATTTA